GAGCAGCGTTCGCGAGAGTCACTAGCTCGACGGAGCGTAAGGAGCGTCCGCAAGTAGCACGATAATTTCACTACGCGAAACGCGTGGAGCAGCGGATTTCGCGAGTGTCACCTTCCGCGAGCGAAGTTTGTAAGGCTTCGGCATGGGAATCGACGCACCGACGGACGCGAGTTGCGACGTCCGTTACTTTTCGATGCGGCGGAGCACTTTTGTGCGCCCGTATGATGAGCACGAACTGAGAGTCGCGTATCCGGTTTTCGTTGAGATCCGGCTCGAAGGACTACTTTGTTGCCGGCGGCGGGAGCCTTCGATCTGGTTCCCCCGTTAACGACAATTATAACGATTTATTTTTGCGCCGGGTTCGCTCGGACGCTTCGACGGAGCCCTCTCGACCCGTCGCTCTCCAGATTCGTACTGACTTTCGTCGCGCGAACTCGAACGGCTCGCGGCTTTGATTTTGGAAGCGATAACGCGATTCGCCGATAACATCGGCCCAGCAACGAGCGACGAATCAGGGGGAAACATACCAAGTACGACGAGGGCCTTTTTTCTGTGTCGAAAGACTCCCGTCGTCATCGGCACACAAACACTCGCTCTCGACGTCGACATTGCTCGAAAGTCGAATCAACAAAGATTCGAAGCGAAGAAGTTTCTCGAGTGATCTCGACGACCGCACTAATTAACGCTCTAATTCTGAACAACATAATAGAATGTCATTACTGTGAACTAGATGAATATAACTATAAAATAATTATATCACGATTAAAGAAAAAACCTTCCATAAACTCTACTCAATTTTTTCTGTCAGACAATAAAGTCATTAAATAAAATTGTGTCAATTATAATAAAATCGTACTTATCAGTTGCATTGCTGTTGCTCAACTGAACATAAACGGAAACATGAAGTCAACTACAGGTCGAAAAAAATAAACATACAATTATTGATAAAAATCGTTATTGGATATTCTCTTTAGTAGTAGTAGTGGTGGTAAAAATGCAGGTGGAGCTATGGCAGCCGCCTAACGCAACCGAGATCTCTAGAGTTTCATTGTCATTCCCTGCTTGTTTCCAAAGTTAAACAGTCAAGCCCAGCCCCGTACCATGTACCAGGCTTATGAGGTCGCCTATCTTTGCTCCACCTAAATCCTCGGATATTAAAAACATGTGACTCTAGGATCTATATCTCTTGCAGGCAAGTAGAGGACAGGTACACGGATGGTGCACGCTGTTCTCGCTTTCCTCCACATAGCCGGCAGTTTTTCTGCCTGACTGATCTGTTGTTGAATAGGTGTGCTCTGAGGGGCAAGCGTCTTGTAAGAAGGTCTATGCCCATTCTCAGTTTGTCTCTTCCCATTGCTATCAGCTCTTTTATTCCAGCTAGATTAACATGTTTCGTTAATTGCTTTGCCCGCCAGCGGCCCTTCGCTTCTCTCCAGGAGTTTAAATACTCCCGCTCCAGCATTTTCTTGATCTTTCTTTTACT